GGAGCCCGATGTGGGACTCGATCCCAGGACCCTGGGATCATGACCTGAGCCGAAGGCAGACGCTTAACCATCTGAGCCACCCAGGCGCCCCTCTGTGTCTTTTTGTGATGTTAACAGCCATCAGTGATCATTGTCCAAATACAAATTCATTAGAGGTTGAAAAATGCCAGTATTCTGATACTGTCAATCCTCAAATATTATCTAGATTTCTTTTTTATTTTTTTAAGTTTAAACAATAATTTTTTTTTAAGTAAACGAACTCTACTCCACACATGGGGCTCAAACTCACAAATCCAAAAGTCGCATACTCTCCTGACTAAGCCAGCCAGGCGCCCCCAGATTTCTTCTTTAAAGAGAAACTTCCCCTACTCGTTTGGCTACCAAGATATGTAATTTGAATAGGGAAGGCAGGAAAAACACTTGATTCTTTCCATTTATGTACCATTTTTCAAAACAGTCAGTTTGTTCCCTCTCACCCTGCAAAGGTGACTGAGGTTTTTGGTGCCCTTTTTCTTTTTCTTTTTTTTAGTATCGTGAACTGGTGGATTTTAAAGTATTTGCTTCCACTGAAGTGATTAATTAGTCCTGCTTTTGCTTAAATGTTCTCATCTTTGGCCATTTGGGAGCTTTCCAAGTTGGTGCCTTTTGACATGACCTCAGTAGTCTTTGATAGTTTGCTTGCTTTTGGTATGACGAAGATGTTCCTGGCTAGTCCCATTCCTGGAACCCACCCCCCTCTCCAAGGAGCCCTAGCTCCTCTTAGTGGGAAGTGGTATTTACAGATCACAGTGTAAGTGTTGTCATAGGTTGTTGAGTACTGCTCTCCTTCTGTTGATAACTCAGGTGGGTATTTTCTTTTCTCCCAGGAGTCCATGAAGAATATCAGCTGCCATATTATGACTTAGTGCCCTCTGACCCTTCCATTGAGGAAATGCGAAAGGTCGTATGTGACCAGAAGCTACGTCCCAACATCCCCAACTGGTGGCAGAGTTATGAGGTAGGAAGCTTCCCAGCCTCCTGTGGCTTTTCCATCTGCCTGATTTTTCTACTTTAGAAAAAGAGTTTCCTAATTTTAAAAAAAAGAAAAGAAAGGGGTTTCCCAACAAGGAGGCTGTGCCCAGAGGTAACCTCTGAGTGTGTCAGTTATACACTACTACATGCTGTTGTATACTAAGCCCTGAGGGGCCATGGTGCCTTGTCCTGGGTACTGTAGGGTCCCCTTGCCTATGCACAGCCTAGTAGAAGAAAAATCTGTGTCTTGGGGATCAAGCCCAGAGAGGTAGTCAACAAGAGACAGAAACAAAAACTGAGCAGGAACTGTTAGACCTGTCTAACTAGAAAAATGGCTCTGGAAGCACAGGGGTGAGCCGAGCTCTGTGGAAGAGTTGAGAAGAGGCATCCATGAAAGAAGCTCAGCCTGGGTGTAGAAGAACAGCAGGACAGGACTTAGCGAGAAGGCATGTCTGTGAGGGAGGCGGCCTTTCCAAAAACTCAGAAGGGAGGAGGGTGTGAGGGTTGGAATTTGGGAGAGATGGCAGCTGAAGTGGGGCGGGGACAGCATTTGCGGGGGAAATTGAAATGAGGACAAACTTATGATACAGGTTCCTAATAAACACAGCATTCTGGGGTCTTAGAGTCTTCAGGGGGAGCAGGGTTTGCCAAGCCAAGTGCACGTGGGACTCCTTGGCCCTGGTGGCTCTGCTTTTAGGGACTAGAACCACTAGAGGGCATCTGTGCATGTAAGAACAAAATCACTTGGTTCACGTTTGAGGTGATGTCTTCCTGTTGCATAATAGAGCAGCATTTTCCAAAATGTTCCTCGGAACCCTCAGGTCAGGGTTTCCGAGGATGAGGGTGAGGCTGAAAAAGCTGGTCTTTAGCTGCCCCTGTCCCACACGCCCTCCAGTCAGTTTTTGAAACTTTGAAATTTTGAAAACCATTGGCCCAGGTTAGCAATTGGGGACGTCTGGGGCCCTCAGGGTTAGAGGTCTGTAGGCGACCTTCCAAGTCCATCTCTTGACCTGACCGCAGTGGGCGCCTGTGTAGTCCAGGCAATGGCAGTGTAGCTTTCTGCCTCTGACAGGATTGCTTTTCAGGGGCCCCTTTCCTGCTTCTCACCCTCAGTCTGTGCCTGTGAGGCGTGGGGTCGCAGCCATGCGCATGCTCGTGCCGAGGTGTGCCCCTGTTGTGCCTGGTTCTTGGGCTACTTTAAAAAACACAGTTAGTACAGAACCATACAAATGGATTCTCCAACCTGACAGAAGTGGTTTTCGGACCCCTGGCTATTTTGGGTAGCCCCATCCAGAGCACCCTGGTGGTGGGCCGGCTGAGTGCACTTGCAGGGCAGGCCTCCCCTTGCCAGGCACGGCGTTCTCCTGGCCCCCCTGAGGAAGGGAGGGCCGGGCGGAGAGGGAAGCTTGCCAAGCACTCCGTGGGCTCCGAGGAGGTGGTCAGGAAGGCCTCCCGGGGCAAGGGTCGGACTGACGCCGTCTGGATCTCCCCGCGCAGGCTCTCCGGGTGATGGGGAAGATGATGCGGGAGTGTTGGTACGCCAACGGTGCGGCCCGCCTCACCGCTCTGCGCATTAAGAAGACCCTCTCACAGCTCAGCGTGCAGGAAGATGTGAAGATCTAAGCCTCTCCCTCCCTTGCACGCAGCCCTGGGCGGCGGGAACTACACACACAGCTGCCCTGTTGAGCGTACGATGGAGGCCTACCTCTCGTTTCTGCCCAGCCCTCTGTGGCCAGGAGCCCTGGCCCAAGAGAGGGACCGAGCCCGGGAGACTCCCTCACTCCCATGTTGGGTTTGAGACACAGACCCCTTTTATATTTACCTCCTGACGGCATGGAGACCCTGAGAGCCAACGGTGTGGAGAACTCGATGCCACAACTCGAACTGGCTGTGGTGGGAAGTCCCGCAAAGCCCGGGGCACCTGGCGGGCGGCCGGGAGGACCCAGGAGAAGCCGAGTGTCGCCAGTGCCCAGCAGCACTGAGGGTTTTCCTCCGGGGACCAGCCAACCCCAGCACTCCGAGGTGGCCCAGAGGCACCGCAAAGTACCGCCCCCTCTCACAGGCAGCTCTGGACCCCGGGCTCCCCTCCTCCCTCCCGCGGACATCTGGAGGGACCGCCAGTGGGGACAGGGTCTGCCGCCTGTCTGTCCAGCCGTGTGTGTGTGTGTGTGTGTGTGTGTGTGTGTGTGCGCGTGCGCGCTCACATGCCGAGGTGCGTCCCCTGTTGTGCCTGGTCCGTGCCTGGTCCGCCCTTACACAGGTGTGTGTGTATGTGTGTGTCTGTAGGTGCGCACTTACCTGCTTGAGCTTTCTGTGCATGTGCGGGTCAGGGGTGTGGTTGTCATGCTGTCTGTGTGCTGGTGCCTCTGTTCTGTAGTGAGCAGCATCCAGTTTCCCTGGTGCCCTTCCCAGAGGTCTCTCTCCCGGCCATGAACCCCAGAACCCCCATGCCACAGTGGGGCTCCCTGCCCAGCAGGCTGCTCCGCCCACCCCTGTGTCAACACCTCCATTTCAGGCTGTGGAACCAAAGCTGGCCCAGTTGTCCATGTCAGGCGAGGCCTTTGGGTCTAAATGTGAGGTGGGGGGGGGGCTGGGCGGAGAAAGAATCTTGGCAGAAGCCTCGGGTGTTGTGGTCAGTGGCAACCATGGGAAATGAGCCAGCCCAAGGGCATCGTCCTCAACGGCATCAAGGAAGGGCCAAAGGATTTGAAGCCCACATCCTGGGACTCAGATTGGAATGTCACATCTGTCTTTCATATCCCAGATTCTGGAAACAGCAGTGTATATTTTTGGTGGTGATGGGTTTAGGGTGGGGAAGGGAGAGGGGGGCAAGGAGTGGGGAGGGAGTCGGGGGGGGGAGGGAGGCATCTGCATGGGTCTTTTACTGGATTATCTGATCACAGTGGAGGGAAGATGTGAGACTTGCACCCACTTCAGGGGCCCTATGAAAGGGAGCAGCCCGAGCCAAATCTGTTCTTTTAACCTGAGTGTAGTATTTAATGACGTCTAGAAGCACGGTTGTGGGTGGTGGTTTGCTCAGCATATCTTAGGTATATAATAACTTTGAAGCCATAACTTTTAAACTGGAGTGTTTTGGTTTGTTTCCTTCCTTCCTTCCTTCCTTCCTTCCTCCCTCCCTCCCTCCCTCCCTCCCTCCCTCCCTTCTTTCTTTTTCTTTTTCTTTTCTTTCTTCCTTCCTTCCTTCCTTTCTTAATTTTATTGGAAGGATCTGAATTTTAACTTTTTTTAATATTGTTAAGTTTTTATAAAAGGAAAACCATCTCTATGTGATGATTACCTCTCAATCTCTTTGTTTTTAAAGAAATTCCTACAAAACAACGACAAAAAAAAAAAAAGATCCAATCAAACGCACATAGCTCAATCACACTGGAAATGTTTGTCCTTGCACCTGAGCCTGTCCTCACTGAGCAGCGAGAGTTCCTCCCTCTTTGCCCTGGAGGTTAGTCTCTCTTGCACTGTGCGCCCCCCTCCCAGCCCCCAGTTCTGTGAGTGGTTTTTGCATCAGGACCCTAGACTTTTGTGCATTGTTCAGCTGGTTGCACCTTTTCCTCCAGGCATTTATTTAACAGATGTTTGCTGAGTGTCTGTTGTGTGCCAGGCACTGTGCTGGGCACTTGGAATACATAATGTGAGCAAGACAGACGTGCGTCTCCCTCTTGGAGCACTGAAGAAGGGGCTCATTCAAATTAGTGGGTGCCTGTTTCAAGACCAGAAGTTTGTATAGTTGGTTCTGAGAGCCTTTTGAGCCTGGAATGATTGCTCTTAGAGAAGAACACTGAGGAGCAGGATGCCTCCCCACCCCAAAGAGCCTGGTGGTGGGCAGTGAGACCCTAAATCACTGCATTCATTCTAAGCCCCCCTCCTGCCCCCAGGGGAAGCATATGATGTATGCAGCCTGAGAGCATGCCCACCTCCAGCCCAGTGATTCTCTGCCAAAGCTTGTGGAGGAGGGGCGAGTCTCTCCCTGCTTACATGGGTCTCCCAAATGCTCCTGGTCTTCCTATTTATTTTCTTGATGTGTTGCTTCTTTCCTTGCATTAAAGGAGATCTTCGCCTCACCCTTTGGGCCAATTTACTGGCTACTGACTAATTTCCCTTGAATACCAATTGTGTCATTAGGGGGACCTTCTTTCCCCACCCCTGCTGATCCCCACGCCCCCCCCCGTCTGCCTTGCAGCAGAACCTGGCAGGATAGAGGCGGTGATGGAACTTAGACTCCTATGCCCTGGTCACAACCAGCCTCTGGGATCTGCCAACACTCCTCGACCCAGGGACTCCCAAGCCACTAGCCTGTCCCCCAGGGGGCCCTTCCGGCCTCACCACACCTTGGGGAAGACTGAGCAGTTTCTTGGGAAGCCCCCACCCCCATCCCCACCACTCTGAACACCAAGAGTTAGGAGTTGGAGAGCTGGGGAGAAACTGAAGCCTAAAGCCGTGGTTTTTGGCCCCTGGGGCTAACCCTGATCCATAGGGCTACCTGCACCTCTGGATTCTGGATTCACAGACCAAGTCCAAGCCCGTTCTTACGTCGCCATCAAGGCCCCCGAACGGCATTCGCGGTACTTCTGTTTGTTTTTGTACATTTTATTAGAAAGGACTGTAAAATAGCCACTTAGACACTTTACCTCTTCAGTATGCAAATGTAAATAAGTTGTAATATAGGAAATCTTTTGTTTTAATATAAGAATGAGCCTGTCCAATTTCTGCTGTACATTATTAAAGTTTTATTCACAGAGCTTTTCTGGTGCCCGCTGCCTTCCGTGTATGTAGACTGACTGCCCAGCTCTTGTCGGGGGCGAGGGCAGGGAGGGCAGACGTTCCAAGGTGGTGGTGCAACCCTCCCACTTGCACCTGCCACGGCCGGTCGCATCTTTGGAAGAGGAGCCGGTCCGAATGCAGGGGGTCTTCCCTCCCTGACACATGGGGGACAGCCTGGCCTGGCCTGTGCGAGGGAGCAGGGGGCAAACCACACATCTTTTCTTGGGCTTTGTCTGTATCTGCTTTTGCCTTTTAGCCTCTTCCTCTACACAAAAGAGGGTCTCGATTCACCACCTAGTCTTGAAGGCAGCCCAAGAGCTCTGCTGGGTTCCTGTTCTCCCCCTTGGCGATTGAGAGTAAATGTGAATTGGGGGCACTTAGGTGACTTTGAGATGGAAATCTTCTCTGGCTGCTCGGCTTTTCAGTGTGTGGGTGGTGGTGAATGCCTTTCTCTAGGCCACAGGAACCCAAGATGGCAAGTCCTTGGGGTCACAGACACTCAAGTGTAGCTGGGGCCCTGGAGGTCGCCTGGTCCATCGTGTTGGGCCCTGGCCTCCCCTGCAGCCCCCTGCCACGTGCTGGAGGCCCACGCCTTCCCCTGCAGGCCATCTGCTCAGTAGCAAGCCCTCTTTGTGTGGAGCCAGGCGGCCTCCGGGTGACTTTGACAGGGTTGAGAGCAGTTACTCTCTCATCCCTGTGAGCTCCCTTCAGTTACCATCGGTTAGCATTGTTGACTAAAGTTGACACTCTGTGCTGAGCAGTGCCGCAAAATTCGCTTTGTGTATATTCACTGCCCTCATCCTCAAATAGCATATGAGGTGGGCGTTACTCTCCTCACCCTCCTTTGTGGATGAGGAACCGAGGGCTAGAGGAGTCAGTAGGTTGTCCGTGTAGCTCACGAGGTGGGAAAGACCTTGGGTCCAGGGTGTCTGATCACAGACTGTGGCCCCTTCGTCTGTGTGCTGTCCTGCCCACATGGTTGCATATTCTTCCGCCATGCCACTGAACCTCGAAAGAGCCTGGGGCCGGAAGGACACATAGCATCCCATCCAGGCATTAACTGAAGCGCAGGCTGGAACACGAATCACACCGTGCCTGACTCCGGTGGGTCACATCTGAGACCCCAGGACTGCATCTCATGGGTTGAGTGAAGCCCAGCCACCTTCTCTTTCATCCCGTCCACGGGAAGCTGGTATTTTGAACTCAAGTACAGGACCTTACATGTTTGCCCTGTTAAATTTTATCTTATTTTATTTTTTTAAAGATTTTATTTATTTGACAGACACAGCAAGAGAGGGAACACAAGCAGGGGGAGTGGGAGAGGGAGAAGCAGGCTTCCCGCGGAGCAGGGAGCCCGATGCGGGGCTCAATCCCAGGACCCTGGGATCATGACCTGAGCCGAAGGCAGATGCTTAACCAACTGAGCCACCCAGGTGCCCCTGCCCTGTTGAATTTTACCCAAGGATGTGCTCCTGGCTCCAACCTGTCAGTATTTAAAAATTCTGATTGGGGCGCCTGGCTGGCTCAGTCGGTAGAGCATGCAACTCTTATCTCCTGGTTGAGTGCAAACCCCATGTTGGGTGTAGAGACTACTTAAAAATAAAATCTAAAAAATAAAAATTCTGATTGCTATCTGGAGTTTTCCATTGTTCTCTCATCTGAGACTGTCGGGCTGGAGAAAATCAAGTAACTCACCTCTAGAAGTTGGCTTTAAGTTTGGCACATATTCCAGTAACCTGCATTAGCTGCTAATTAAATTGTCCTTGTGGCCTCGCCATAATTCATTTGTGCACAGAGACAACAGCGGAAGGCCGAATATCTTTCTGAAGTGGCAAGGTAGTATTGTGGCTGTAGCATCTCTTTGTTGACAGAAAGGTGAAGTGGCTTGTAGGGAATCTCAACCCCGCTAAAAAGCCATCCTGTGAAGAATCAGTCGTCTCTCTGGGCATGGACCTAAAATGCCCTAGGCTGTGGATTGCAGCTTCAACTTTACCATTTTGAAAATCAGAATGGCAACCGTTGTGGTACCCCTTTGTGTGCCCTTGAAGGTTGCTAACGAAGTTTCACCTTTGTTAGGCCCATGACACAGGAGACCTGAATTATTTTGAATAGTGTATCACTTAGGTTTTTGTTTCACACGTTGTGAATTTTTGTCCCCGCCAGGTCCTGTCTTCTGATCTTTACAGTCTGGAGAACATGCTTGCGAAATACAACCAAAACAAAATTAAAAGTAAAGTAGTAGAGTTCAAGAGACACTCAGGAACATATGAGGGATGCATAAGGAAGGTGGCGGGAGGGAGAAAAGGCTTTGGATGGAGCCAGGAATGGTGTACTAGGATTCTCCAGAGAAACCAAACCAATGGGATGGATA